TCCGAGCTGGCGCCCGGCGGGTTCAGGGAGGCGGCGAGTTGGCGGGTCCTCGGCTGGAGTCACTCCGGGCGCCGCCAGGCCGGGTCCCAGCGGACCGGCGGACGGTTTCCTCAGCGAGCACTACCGTGTCTTGCATCCTCTCCCCTCCGGTCCTCCCCGGCAGTCGCCCTCCTCTGCCTGGGAGATACCGTCAAATTAATTTTCCCAGTTAAAAATTTACAAGCTTCTTAGAGCCCCACCGTGCACCGGCACCGCACGGTTTGCAAAGTGAATAGAACGTGGTCCCAGCGCCCGGGACGCGTCAGCCTCGGGATCCAGATGAACGCAGACTCGGAGTCGAGTTTGGAGAACTCAGGGTTTGGCTCCGGTTATCATGATTTTAGAGCTGTGAGTGTTTCAGGATCATCTTTCCCAAACCTACTTTATAGAGATGGAACTAGGGAGGGCAAATGGCTTGCTGGAGGTCACCCAGAATTATTCCCTCGCAGTTTTCCGGCTGTCAGATGGCTTGTTTTCCAGCATAACCTGCTCCTCTGAGAGATATGCCAAATAAACATACCAGAGGAAGTTCCAGGCCTGTTTAAAGTGATGTAAACATGGTAGAAATGCGGTAATATAGAGAGCAGTTTTCTGAAATAAAATCCTCATCATGTCTTTTTTTACAGCTAGACTTTGGGATCCTTGAGGCTATTCAGCTATGCACTTTTGAATATCCTCTCACCATATTCAACATAACATTCTTAATGATTATCCTCAGCAGGACAGGTAGGCTTATTTGATTTATTTTTTCCTCCTCACTTTTCTCTTCCCACTTTTAGTTAGGTGAGTGGAGTCCCAGGTGTGTTTTCAGAAACCTCCAGCAAGGCTGGCACCAGAATGATTTTGTGCTGGAGGGGGTCCTTGGTGTGTGGGTGAAGCTGGAGCAGGGCTGGAAGCCTCAGAGCCATCACAGCTCTTCCAGGCTGGAGTGTTCAGGGAGCCCCTAGAACCACAGTGCTCAGCCTCCCTGTCACTTGAAGACTGATCTCTGAAATTGTAGTACACTCGGAAGACAGGACAAGATGAAAGTGCTGTTTGGGAACCAGCATTTTGAGGGGTACTCCATGATTTGAGATACATAGTATTTTCCCCCTGCTTTTTTGTGTTTTCCCCAGAGTTGAGTAAGACGTTAACCGTTTTTTAAAAAAAATTTTCCTAGTTATACGTGGATACAATATCTTTATTTTGCTTATTTGGTTTTACATGGTGCTGAAAATCGAACCCAGTGCCTCACATGTGCAAGGCAAGCGCTCTGCCACTGAGCCCCAGCCCGATGATGACCATTTTTATTTGGCTTTCAGTTGAAGTTGTTCAAAAGAAGATAATTGGACTAATTGAATCCTAGCATTTTCTTCCTAGGAAGGACTAGATCATGGAACCCAGTGCAGGGCCCAGCTACACAGATGAGGGCAGTGGAGGCCTCCACCCTCAGACCACTGTGGTTCCCTTGTTCCCTTGGGCATACTTTGCCTTTTTTATTGTCTCACTACCTCCCCTGCATTGTGTATTTCAGTATCTTTCGATTTATGTGTGCATAGAAGTATGACTTATTGTGGTCCCTTTTTAGCCTCAGTATGTGGGATGATGTGTTGATGCAGACTTATTTTTTCTGTATAGTGGTGGTTTATCACATATGGGTATGTTTTGCAGGTGTGAGAGGATTGCTATTGTACTACAATCATGGTGCAAAAATACCAGTCACCAGTGAGGGTGTATAAACACCCCTTTGAATTAATTATGGCTGTAAGTACTGTACATTTCCATTTACTCTTTGGCTTCTTATTTTTTAAGTCTTAGAATCTGATGCTCTGTAAACTTAACGTGCATTGTTTGTCCCCATTGCTTCACTTAGTCTGTTTACATGCTCATGAACTGTATTGTGTGTAAGATGTTTTTAAAACATAAGCCTCTGAAAATCTTCACATTTGTTTTATAAAAACACCCCTCGGGATCATGTGTGAATTTGCGTTAATTCCCCCTTTAAAAATGCAGAAGTGGGATTCTGACTAAACACTTCCTATGAATTTTGTTTTTTGGTTAAAGTAGCAGAGGGACGTGGTGTGTGGGTTCTTGCCTGTGGGAGCCAGCTCTGGTTGTGGGTGACTGCAGGTAGTCTCCGAGGAGCACTGGAAGGGGGCCTGCCTCGGCTACTCTGCTGCCTGGGCTTCCCACCTGACAGCAAATCTGTGAGTCAGATTCCACAAATGAGATAACTGAAGTCTCATTTTCTTGTTGTTATTTGCCTGAAAATTTGGCTAAAAATAAACATTTGACTGGACAGAAAAACTGTTCCAGGTCCTCTTAGGTTACTATGTAGTAATACTCCTTGCTTTCTCTTTTGCGTTATTATAAGGCTATGATACATTCAGGAACACGTGATAGCTCCAGGAAAAGGCTCTCACTGTCACGCATATGCATCCCTAAGGAAGTGTCACACTGAACACACCAGGGTTCTGACACCAGGGTCAGTGAGCGGAACATAGCAGCCCTGTTAGAAGTTGCACTTGGCTCCTTTGGGCCCCCCCACCTTCTCAAAGTGTGCCAGTTCCGTGACTTATAACACTGAAGGTGACTGGGCTGGGGATTTGCTCCAGTGACATGGCTCCTGCCTGTTATTCGCAAGGTCCTGAGTTCTGTTGCCCGTTAGCACCCCCACCCCCAAAGTAGAAAGAAAAACTCCAGTCTAAGGGATTAAGGGGAAGTTTTGTGGGTGTTTTATTGAGGTATAACTAACATATAGAAGATGGCTACATGTTAGCCACATATTTTGATCAGTTTTTTTTTTTTTTTTAATTTTTTGGGGTTGTAGATGGACACAATACCTTGATTTTGTTTATTTATTTTTATGTGGTGCTGAGGATCAAACCTGGTGCCTCACAAATGCTAGGCAAGCGCTCTGCCACTGAGCTACAACTGAGCCCTAGTTTGCTCAATTTTTTTTTTTTTTTAGATTGAAAGCATGCCTTTATTTTATTTGTTTATTTTTATGTGTTGCTGAGAATCAAATCCAGTGCCTCACACATGCTAGGCAAGTGCTCTGCCACTGCGCTACAGCCTCTGTCCTGGTCAGTTTTAAGAAGATGGGCTGGGGATATATCTTAGTTGGTAGAGTGCTTGCCTCGCAAGCACAAGGCCCTGGGTTCAATCCCCCGCACCAGCACAAAAAAGAAAAAAAGGAAGAAGAGTCACCCCCACCTCTGTCAAGACAGAGTATTTGCATCCGCTACCCCAACAAGTTCCTTGTGCTCCCTCTGTCAGGTGTAAGACTTCTGTGTGTATGGCTGTTTCTGAAAAACAGTTTTGTATTTCCCTTAAGTATATCTGAGTGGTGCTGCCTAATATCTGGTGAGTGACAGGACGTGTCTGAGAGGCTTTGCTGTCCGTCCGCGTCTCTCTTGCTGGTTTGGCTTTGGCTGTGTGGAGCAGAGGCTGCTCCAGCCAGCCTGAAAGGGAGTTCTGTTAGCACCCACACTTGTGGGCTGTAGGAATCTCACAGACACTGAGGGTTTCCAGCTGGGACAGGCTGGAGCCTGGTGGTGGAGGGGGCTCTTGGCAGCGCTAGGGACTAGGAGCAGTTGTCCCTGGAACTTCACCCCATGGGACCCCACCTCACTCTATCTGCCAGAACTTTTTTGTCTCCCCACCAACTGGCTTCTTGCTCACTCTTTGCCCTTCCCTGTGGCTTCAGCTCAAGTGCTATTCCAGTTGGCCAAAACCCTCTGGCTCCAGTTCAACTTTGTGGCATTTCTTGTTGTGTTCTTTTAGTTTCTAAGTGACCAGTTCTTGTTACTTTTCCTAGTTCACATTTTTGAAAGAAACTTGATCTGGTCCTCCCCCCCCACCTTAACTACAAGCGGTTGGCCAGCTCGTCTACTGTCAGCCTTGGGTGGGATGCCTGACCCTGGCCAGGTCCTGAGCTGGTGGGGTGGGGGGAGGAAGTGTGGGGATAGTAGGGACCGAAAGTCCAATGAAGCCTCATGTCTGCCCCACAAGGGAGGGGCTGTGGACAGGGCGTGTTGTTTTTTGGAGCTTGAAGTGTGATTTAAAAAGCGTTCTGCTGATCTCTTCTCCAAACACTAGATTTAATAAAGAGGCATTTTGTCTAATTTTCAAACTTCCTTATTTCCCTTACTTTACTATTTTCAAAATTGTGAAGTTTGCTTTGCAAATTTCATGCATGAATTTACAGAAGAATTCAAAAATCAAATTTGAATTTCTTAAAAATTAAGCCTTTGTAAATTGCTTTTGTTTTGGGTAGTTGTTAATTTCCTTTTGAGTTGTTAAAAAATACATATTGCTTTTCTCCTTCCAAAACCAGGATATTTGTTAAGTCATTAGGATTTTTGGTGCACTTGCCCCTTTTCTGACTAGTTGTATGGCTTAACATCCTCAGTATTCATTCATTTCGCTTTTTTTTCTTATTGAGGAAAAACAACTGTGATAAGAGGAAGCATTTGGGGTGAGGAAGAAGGGCTGCAGTCAAGGCGGGGACAGCACTGTAGCTCTCAGTGAAATATTTGTGAGAACTTCAAAAAGACCATGCTTCAAAAATCACAGTGCACAGCAGAGTCCGAGGAGTGAGGAAGTGTGGTGGCATTCAGCAATAGGTGATTTTGTTAGGGATCCTAATTTATTTATTTATTTATTTATTTATTTATTTTTTTCAAGAGAGAGTGAGAGGCAGTGAGAGAGAGGGAGAGAGAGAGAGAGAGAATTTTAATATTTATTTTTTAGTTCTCTGCGGACACAACATCTTTGTTGGTATGTGGTGCTGAGGATCGAACCCGGGCCGCACGCATGCCAGGCGAGCACGCTACCGCTTGAGCCACATCCCCAGCCCCTAGGGATCCTAATTTATATGTGTCCCCATGGAGAGAAGGATTGGGAGAAAACAAACTTGCAAACTTGCCCAACTTGAGCATGTGTTGGTTTGCTTTAACCAAGAGTTGAATTGTAGCTTAGGATTCATTGATAGAAAATGGTTCAGGTGGAAAGTTCCTATTGCAGATAGGTAACCAGTGGGGCCAGACGTGTCCATTGCATTTCAGTCAATTTAATGAAGACTTATTATTGTTTTGGGGTCAGCAGCATTGAAAAAAATCACATTAATGGTCTCATTAACTTTTTTTTTTTTTTTTTTTTTTGCTGGGGATTGAACCTTGCATGGGCCAGGCCTGCACTCTACCACTGAGCCATGTCTGTTCCCAGCCCTCCCTTAACACATTGGAATTAAAGTGTGGTGAGGAGGAGGTTCCTAGTAGGCATTTGCAGCACTTTGAAGTACTTTGTTAGATGTTAGCCCAGAAATGGACACTGGAGCCGAGATAGCGCTGCCCCTCCAGCTCTGGGGGAGGAATCCGAGACGCCACAGTGCAACCTGCAGTCAGTGGCAGAGATCTGATTCTTGAGTTTAGTGTTCTTTTTATCACACTGTGCTTTTCCTTGCCCCCTAGTAATGTGTATCTGGAAACATCTTATGAAAGGTCTTGTCCATGAAGATGGCCTCAAATCTAGTGTCACCCAATCACATTTCCCAGGGCTACTCTCCTGGCACGGGGGAGGAGAAATGATCCGTGCAGATGCCCCAGCTGAGTGTGCCTGCAAGGATGTGGGGTCTCCCTGGGCACAGGATATGCCCCACCGGTAGGAGCTTGGAAGGGGAAGCAGCAGGCTGAGGTGCTTGGGTTGGAGGTTTCCTGTGAACTGCCTAATGAGGCCTTTTCAAGTGCAGCCCCTCCCCAGGCTAGGGCCCCCTGGCTGTGTCAAGTGGGAGGAGAGCAGGCCTGAGGGGCCACGTTGAGTGGATCTGTTTTCCACCCAGGGTGCTGGGACATGACAAAAGGGGCTCCACTAGCTCTTGTGTGTCTTGCACTCTTCTCCGCTGTCCCTGTCCTCCTGGGCCTTCCCTGTTGTCCAGGCCACCTCGCCCCTCCCCTTCTCTCCCTCCCTCCCCATCTCAGTTCCCTCTTTTTTGGCAGTGCTGCTTTTCTCCCCAAACCCTTTTCTCCTCAATGTACCCTCACAGGCACACTGTGTTAGTTGTGCCTTCAGGTCACACGGATCTCTGTCCCTTTCTCTCAACCACCAGCGTCTGTCTGTCCAGCCTGCCTTCTCGTGGTCTGGGAGGGGTGAACAGACATGACTTGCTGGTTTTCCTCCTCCCATCTTTTAGCCCTTCGAGTCATCCTGAGTTCTCTTCCTCACACCTCCTGTCCTGTCAGTCCTCTGCTGCAGGATCCCCCTGTCTGTACCCTGCTTCAAAACCCCGTGGCTCTGTCTTTAAGGCTCTTTCTGCCTGTGTCCAGCCCTTCCTGTTTTGCCTATTTCACAAATTGTGCACACTTCCCAATTTGAACTTTTCTTTTATTTGTTTATTTATTTTGGTCCTGGGGATCTAACTTGGCCTGTGCATACAAGGCAAGCTCTCTACCAATCGAGCCCCAGCCCTAACTTACATTCTTTTTTTTTTTTTTTTTTTTTTTTTTTGCTGGGGATTGA